CGAAAATCCCCGAAGGGATTATTTGGTACAGGTATACGTATCCGTGGGCAGAACGGCGGGTAAGCGTCCACCCGTCGCCCACCTGCGGGGTATAAGTGACTCGTGGGTAGTGTACCCGCGGGCGGAACCACGGGTAGGGGCCTACTCATGGGTCCACCTGCGGGGTACACTTTGGTGTATGTTCGGGATTTGTTCTCCGTGATTCTTTTGACTCGGTATTTGGTCTTTTGACTTCCCGATGTTCTTTTGTGGAACTATTTGAGCGTCTTCTTGATGTTTCGTATGTCTTGAGCTATATGGTAGGATGCCATGTAGGTTTTGGTGTCTTGAATCGTGCTAAGTGTTCAACATTGTGTTTCGTTGAACCGTGATGAGTCTTGTGTGTTCTTCGGAACTATGTTTGGTTTACCCGTTTGATGTGCATGCTAGTTCGGTGTTTAAATGCTAGCGTGTGTGTTGTTTGTACATTCTTATTGTTGATGATGACTTGTCTTATTCATCGTTGTTGTTGGACTGTGATCCATTCCTTGATTAAGTATGGTTTCATATCTTCGTTGTGATCCGTTGATTGATTCCTGTTGAGGTGTGATGTGTGTGTGGCTTTACCTGGATTGCACGATTAGTGGTATGGGACACTAGTCACCAAGGTATTGCAGTGGTCCTCGTGGTGGCCATGACATGATTATGGAGTTGTGACCTTTGTGTAAGGTTCACGTATTTCTTGGGAGGCATGTGTTGCCGTCTGTGTGATCGGTACCCTCGTGTACTATGAAATCCGTGGTTCTGTTGGAGATCTGTTGGAGAGGGGACGACGGTCCTCGGAGGGAAAAGGTTGGACTTGGTGTACAGGGGTCCTGGAGGTAAAGGTTGGAACTAGATATAAGGTTGGGGGTAGCCAAAAGGTTGGAACCGGGCATAAGGAAGACATATCAACTCATGATGGGTGATGTCACGAGGGCTTGTGTAGCCGTTGTTGTGAGTTCTTTTCTTCTGACGTGTGTAGTCACAAAGGCATGTGTTGCCTTGACATGTGTTGTCGTTGGGTGTGTCCCTATTCCTTTGCGTTATGTATGTCGGGTGTTGATATATTGTGTGATGATAGATCATACCTTGAGACTTCTTGTGAGTCGTGTTGTTCTTTGTGGTCTTGGGATGTGTTCCCGTGTTCTTGTTGAGAGTGTTGAGTCTTGTTTTGACTATTACTCTTGGTTTTGTACTTATATACTTATGTATTCCGTTTTGAAAATGGCTTTACAACTTATATCTTATCTATGTATGTTATTTCACATGTATTGGTGGGTTACATGCATTATTCACTGACCGGGCGTCGTCCCATGTTTATTGTGTTCTTTCAGGTGATGTTTAAACGAGTGCGCGGTCTAGTGCCTGCTAGTATAGCTTCTCCTTTATGTTTTGTGGCCTGTGAGCCAGCTTAGACTTAGTACCATGAGATATTTTGTTTAGATTTTAACATTGCAGATGTTGCCTGTGCGTTCACCCCTTTGGTGAACGTGGCATAGCACCCCATATTCCAGTTTATTCATATATATCTATCTTTCAGTCTTCTGCTGTGTTTGTTGTTTGGTTTAGATATCTGCTTGTTTAAGGCTTTAAATATCATGTTTTCAGGGGGTGTTACAATGAGGCAGGGTGTTGTGGGGTCGTGTTAGCGTTATATGCGCTAACCTTCATGTATGGGCATGTGATTGGTCCCGTGGCGCCACCAAAATATGCTTGTGTGACAAAGATATTGATTGAATGATGATATGAATGACATGAAAGTAAACTGTGACCTTAGATACAAACATATATGATGTTGTCTCTATATGATTGATTATCATTATTGAATGTGCTTATCTCTTTCGAGTCTAATCCTGGTTTTAAAACTAGAGTTTCCTAAGTATATATCTTCCTGCTTCAAAATGGTTTTCCTATATATATATATATATATATATACCTATATTGTATTTTAACGCGTTGGAGTGGGTTACCAGCATCATTCGCTGAACAGATATATTTGGCTTTCAGGCACAGATGATTAGCTACCGGGGCGCGCTAGAGGATCTCGGCTTAGGTAGTTAGTCTTCCCTTTCGGCCTGCGTGCCTTGATGATGTAATGACAATATTTGAGGATGGTTAGTTAGAATAGCCTATGCATCTGAGTTCTCCAGCTCAGATGTGGCATAACACCCCAGACCCTTATGTTTAGAGTACTCCATTTGGGATTTATTTAATAGAATTGCTTTCATATTATAAGATTGAAAAGTTTTAAAATTTCGGGGTGTTACAGTGTGCACCAGACCAGAGTGGCGGCCCAAGCCGCGGCCCATCAGAAGGGCTGTCGGCTAGAGCTGTGCCACCACGGGACTAGGGCAAGGCCCTAGAAGAGGGTCGTAGCCTAGTCCCGGCTAATTAACAGGACTCCAGGGACGGACCATGAAGAGTCCCGCCCCAGGTCCCTGAGTATTGTACTGATGAGATATTTGTGCAGTGGCCGGACCCTTGTTGCTCAGCTACGTGTCGTTTCGGACCAAGTTTTATGAGCCCTTGTGGTTCGGCTCTTAGAGATCGTCTTGACACACGTTTTGGCTTCGATTTCGTTGAATTTGGTTTAAAAACAAGTATGTTAAGAAGGATTTTGTGAAGAAATGTTGCATAGTGCATATTTTGCCTAATTCTCTGTGTTTGAGAAATTGTTGATTTTGTGATCAAATAATGTTCTTATTGCGTAAAGAAGCATAATCCTTTGAGAATAGGATTTATTATGAAAGCATGATTAAATTGTATTATTTGATCAATGAGAATAGAAGCATACTTGTTGAGTGAAATGTATAGAACTTGCTACTTTGCAAACCGAGCATGATGATATATCCTTGAATACTTTATGTTAATGTATACATGTTCTAGAAGCATGTTATATAACATTTTGACATTTCACATGACTCATATTTCGAAAATGCCAACGTGAATCCAAGAATACTTTCAAAAACCATAAGCATGTGGTATATCATTCTTTGATGCATTGAGAAGTAGTAGAATTGTTGCATGCATGAGATTGATGCATGAGAGATATATTTATATATTATCTATATCGGTGAGGTTTTGGAGGATACCGTTTGGACTATGTTCCTCTCGGGAGATATTTATGGACATTGCAGTCCCAATACATGTAACACGGCGTATTCCCACGTTACGAGGTTGGAAACTTCCCGTCGGGCTTGGAATCCTGGTTAGGGGGTGTGCACACTAATAGTTCGATACCTGATTCTAATGAGTTTGAACCACGAGATTGGTTCCGTAGACGGTAAGAGATGTTGGGTCTGAATTATGCCGTTCCCGATGGGGTAAGTCACACTTCTGTGAAACCCTAAGCCGTCTACGAGTATAAGAGAGAGAAAGAGAGCCAACAAAGACTCAAGAAAGAGAGTCAACAGAGACTCGATTAAGAGAGTCAATATAGACTCGATAGAAAGAAAGAGAGTCAAGAGAGACTCGAGAAAGTAACAAAGAAACCTCCACAGAAAGTACTCTATTTTATATATGAGAGTGTGATTATATTATCGCACTAGTTTGCATTTGAACATGAGTATATTTTTGCATGAGATTGCATAAGAGCATGACTATATTTTTGCATGAGATTGCATAAGAGCATGAGTATATTTTTGCACTAGATTGCATATGAGTATGATTATATTATTGCACTAGATTGCATATGAATATGAGTATGTTGTTGCACTAGATTACATAAAAGTATGATTATATTGATGCACTAGATTGCATAAGAGTATGATTATATTGATGCACTAGATTGCATAAGAGTATTAGTGTATTATTACACTAGATTGCATACGAATATGAGTATATTGTTGCACTAGATTGCATAAGAGTATGAGTGTATTATTACACTAGATTGCATATGAACATGAGTATATTTTTGTACTAGATTGCATTTGAGTATGATTATATTGTGGCACTAGATTGCATGAGAAACATGATCATAATGTTACACATAATTGCATGCGAATAGAACATCGTAAAAGATTGTTTAATGAGAAGTTTAACTTGTGACATTCCTTGAGCATGATTATTTGGATGTAGTAGAAGTTTTACTTAATAAGTTGTGTGATAGCATATGAACACCGGTTATATGATCTTTAATCATGATCCTATCTGTAAACATGAATTGCTTGATAAGCTATTTGAGAAGTCTATATGAATATGAATATACGTGATCAATCTTATTCATATATAAGCATGTCAACTGATATTATAAGGTGCAAGCATTTAGAAAGAATATGATAAACTAATGATGTTTTGAGATTAGCTTATTGCTATAAAGATATCAAATGTTTTTCAAAGCGTATGCTAAAATGTTATACAGGGTTGAGTGCGATTATACTTAGCTTCGTGCTAACGGGTGCTTTCCTGTTTGTCTATGTGTTGCTTGCAAAACCCCTTTCAGGTGGGCCCAACAGTGAGAAGAGATCGAGTTAGATTAGTCTCTTAGTCTGAGCTGTCTAAATTCTAGTTCTATTTATGATGTCATTATGGATTTAGACTTATGACCTTATACTTTTATGATGATGATTGTAGACTGTTTTGGGTGACGTTTTTCCCCCTTATTTTTCAGTATTCATTTTAGTACCCAGACTTAATCGTATGTTACAGTTTTACCCTTTTAGCCTGTGCAATCACCAAGAGTGGTGGTTGTGGCGGTGACACTCCCACTGCTTATCATCTAGTTTTCCGCTGCTTAGTTTATGTTAATGACTGTTTAGAGTTGTAATTAAGAGTTAGAAAAGAGGGGTGTTACATCATCCTATCAAGAAATGTGTCTTATGTAGAGATGACCACGGTTCCGGTTCGAACCGTAGGTTCAAACCGGAACCGTGACTGTGCAAACCGGAACATTCCGTACGGTTCCGGTTCTTAATCGGAACCTTATAGGTTCCGGTTAAGGTTTGTAAAATCTTGGAACCGGAACCGGAACCCCGTAAAAAAATAAATATTATAGTGTTTTATTTAATTTTTTTTTAAATAATTCCAGTTAGAACCGGCGGTTCTAACCGGAACCGCCGGTTCTGAACTGGAACCGTAACCGAAACCTTACTATAAGGTTCCGGTTCCGATTTCGCCATCCACGGAACCGGCGGTTCCGAACCAGAATCGAACCGGAACCGGAACCGTGGTCACCCCTAGTCTTATGGCAAATGAAAATGAAGAAGATGAGGTAACATCTAAATCTTATGACTCTGTAAATTCATCATTCTCTAGAGAGTCCATCATTCACTTAATGAAAGATTGTCAAACTTTTATGGACACTCATTAACAACTCAAGGAGCGCAATTGTAACACCCCCCAAACAAGACCTATATAAAAAGGCCTTAACACATGCCGATCAAACAACAAAACACTAGCACAGCGGAAGATAAAACGATAACTGGATAAAACAAATCCAAACGAGGTGTTATGCCACGTCTACCAACCACGGTAAACGCTACGGCGGTCAAATCCGCAATGTGTATACATCTATCCCAAAGACATCAGTCTAAAACTACATTGGCACACAGGCCAAAAGACAAGGATAAAGGCACTAAGCTAGCGGCCACTAGATATCGCGCTCGTCTAGACATCACCTGAAAGAACACAAAGATAAACATTGGGACGACGCCCGGTCAGCGATAATGCTGGTAACCCACCAATACCTGTTAAGTATCATACATAGGTAGGATATATATACAAAAATCATTTCGAAACAGAATACATATATATAAGTGTAAAACTGAGATTAAACACCAACTCAAGACTCATTACTCTCAAAGATAACACGGGAACACATCCCAAGACCACAAAGGACAACAACAACTCAAGGATAAAGACACGACAAGCAGCAACACATGCCTAGGCAACACGTGCCTTTGTCACTACACACGTCACAAGAGAGAACACACAACCACTGCTACACAAGCCCTCGTGACATCACACATCACGAGTTGATATGCCTTCCTTATGCCCTGTTCCAACCTTATGGCTACCCCCAACCTTATATCTAGTTCCAACCTTTACCTCCAGGACCCCTGTACTCCAAGTCCAACCTTATTCCTCTGAGGACCGTCGTCCCCTCTCCAACAGATCTCCAACAGAACCACCGATTTCATAGTACGCGAGGGTACCGATCACACACACGGCAACACATGCCACCCAAAAATCACGTGAACCTTACACAAAGGCCACAACTCCATAATCACGTCACGGCCACCATGAGGACCGCTGCAATACCTTGGTGACTAGTGTCCCATACCACTAATCGTGCAATCCAGGTAAAGTCACACACGCATCACAGCTCAACAAGAGTCAATCAACGGATCACAACGAAGGTATGAAACATACTCAATCAAGGAACGGGTCACAGCCCAACAACATCAACGATGAATAACACAAGTTATCATCAACCAATCGGAAGGTACAAACAACACACACGCTAACATTTAGACAACAAACTAGCATGCTTATCAACGGAGAAACTCAAGATAGTTCCGAGGAACGCACAAGACACCTCACGGTTCAACGAAACACGATGTTGAACACTTAGCACGAATCAAGACACCAAATACCTACATGGATACCTACCATATAGTTCTAGACATACGAAACATCAAGAAGACACTCAAATAGTTCCACAAAAGAACATCGGGAAGTCAAAAGACCAAATACCGTGTCAAAAGGATCAATGGGAACAAATCCCCAACCAACTCCACTTATGTACCCGCGGGTGGACCCACGGGTAGTGCCCCACCCGTGGTTCCGCCCGCGGGAACATCTTCCCACCAGGCACGTACCCGCGGGTAGGGCGACGGGTGGTGCCCCGCCTGTCGTTCCGCCCGCGAGTACACACTTGTGCCACAACAAATCCCTTCGGGGATTTTCTTCTCCAAACTCAAATTCAAGTCCAAGACATGCCAAATCTCACCCAAAACAACAAAATGACTTGAATCATAGGAAATGCCAAGCAATGGCACAAAAGAACCCTAAACACAAGCTCTAGATATGCATTTTCACAAGACAAATGCATAAACACTCACATTCCATATCAAAGCACAAGTAGAATCCAAGAAATCACATATAGGTAAGAAAAATAGGTTTTAGTAGAGCATGGGTTACCTCTTGTAGACTCAAAGACTTCACTTTACACCTCAACAAGCTCCCCACAAGGCTTACTTTCCAAACCCACTTCAAGATCAAACCAAAAGATCATAAAGATCCTACTTTTAAGAAAAAAACATCTAAGATGGAACCAAAAACACAAGATGGACTTAGATCTTACCCTCCTAGATGCCCAAATATGTGAAAGGTTGAATCTTGGAAGCAAATCTTGGAATCTTGACAAGCTCTCAACTTAGCTTGGAGGAAAAGCTACTCACCTTTCTAGAGAGAAGGTAGAGCTAATTTCTAGGAAGTGTAAGGAATGAAATGAAGAAGTCTTCTAGGTTAGGTTACAATACTAACTCTTGGTGAAAAGTCAAGAATACCCTTACTAACCTTTAGAAAGTGTAAGGAGCAAGGGAACTCCCCTCAAAGCTCAAGGTACAACATGACTTGAAGTTGACTAGTCAAATACTAGTCCTTGAGTATTAAAAATCAGGATTTTAGGAATGAATTCCTCAATTGAAATAGGATTAATTACTCAATTAACCCATGGATTGAATGTGGATTTTTGGGGTGTCACATCCTCTCCCCATTCAAAGAAGTTTCGTCCCTGAAGCTTGGGTACGACGAATTAGAAACAAACGGTGGTAGGAAACAACATTTTGACAAGAGGTTCAAGAACGAATCCTTTTGGTCAAAACTCAAAAGATTCTACAAGGATTTCAAACAAGAAGGTAGGCAAAACAAATCAAGAATTGTCAAGAACTTAACAAGGAGTAGATTGAGCATCACAAACTCTAGTCTTAACAACGACATCTATGTCTACCAAACACTAAGAGCAAGACAACCAACACAAAACACCCACTACTACTACGAAGCTAACTAAGCCACAAGGCTACAAGCCAAGCAAGCACAAAAGCAACAACAAGCAACCAAACAATGACAATAACGTCTAAAGAAAAGCAACTACAAGGAAAAAGGCGAACAAGGTAGCCACAACTGCTAGAAAGACTAGCTCTCCGACTCCTCGGACTCTTCTTCGGCTTCTCCTCTACGACTCGAGCTGGCTTCGATCTGATCTAGCCGATGGTGCACAGCGACAAACTGCGTCCTCATGTAGGCAAAGCCCTCCTCTATCATGTGGTTCTGCTGACGAAGCAAAGCAACAACACGTTCTTCGTGCGACGTGGGGTCGTGCTCCCTCTTGGTGCGAGCTTCCCTTCTTCATCGGTTCTCTTCACTCTCCGAGTCGCTTTCTTTAGCTTCAACGGCTTCTGGCGCTCCCACCTCATCTTCTTGATAAGCTTCATCTTCGGCTTCTTCGTCACCTCCCAAGCTCTGGACGGCGAGACTCAACTTCCCGGCATGGATTCCAAGCTCAGCTGCTAACCCCGCCCGTTCATCAGGTGCTTTCCTTGCCACTTCTTCAAGCGTGATGTACTCACCATCATCCAACTGAAACAGGTTACAACTCTGAAAGTTGGTGGCATCCAAAACTAGCTTTCCCACAGCCTTAGGAGAACAACCGTCCACACTGACGCCCTTCCTAACCAAAATCCAGCTCAACACCATCCCGTAAGGCAAACTCTTCCTATTGTGATCCCGGCAAAACACCATGTGTTGCAACATCAAAGCATGCAAGTTAAACTTAACCATGTTCTTCAAACAAAAAGCAAAAGTGCACTCCAGCTTACCCAACAACTTGCTCTTGTTATTGTTCGGCAACAAACAATCCGACACCAACATCACCAAGATCCTTTGCTCCGCAGACAAACACTTCTTCTCCGGCCTAGAGGCTTGAGTGAAACCACTCGTACGGCCTAACAAGTAGCTCAAGTAGTCACGGTATCCCATGGTATCCGTACTAATCCAAGAATGACCACTGTACTGAGCCACTCCGGTAGTAGACAAACTCAACAGTTGAGCCAACCTCTTCTCAGAAAGCACAACCTTTACACCTCTCACCTTAGAGGTGATCTCAAGCTTCTCACCCTCCTTCGTCACAACCATGTGACGGTAAAACTCTTTCACCAAACTCGAGTAAGTCTCGGCCCTTATGGCGAGAAACCCATCCAACAAACCTTGATACCTAAGCATATCCAACAAGGAAATAGAAAAAGATTCCGGATCAAAAGCTTTACCTTCAAGAACAAGGTAGCGGGTATCCACCCATTCCGCTTTTCTAGCCAAGCTTGACCTTCTAGGCATGATAGGAGATGATCCAAAGCTCAACAAACAAAGCCCACAACTTCTACCTCTTCACACTCTCTGCCTCACTCTCTCTCGAGCTCTCTCTCTCTCTCTCTCTCTCTCGGCTGTTCTCGGCGACGCGGTGGACAGCAGGTCGACGGCGGCGGCAGCTCCAGCGACGGCGAGGCGGTGATCCGGCGGTGGTGGGGCGACGGGTTGGTGGTAGTGGAGCTACGGGTTGGGATGGGGTTGAGGGATGTTCACGGGTAGAGAAGAAAGAAAAGAAGAAGAGAAAATTTTGGGATTTTAGGGATTTGGGAGAAATTGGGGAACATGAGGGTTAATGCATATAGCATTAACACGGCTCCGCAGAACCCTACCTCAGTACCGCGGTATGAGGGGAGTTGATCGCAACCAACCCTTTGAGAACCGCTGACGAACTCAACGTCGGATCAAGATCCGGCTCACCGCTGACGCACCCAGTCGGTGGACCGCGATCCCCTTTACAAGGGGGAACTTACGACCCTACACACCGTCGATGCGCACAGTCGGTGGACCATAGCGGATCTAAGCCCGGCTTACCCCTAAGCTGTACTCAGCAGGTGGGCGAAGATCCTCGGAGACTATGGCCCTACACACCGCTGTCCCATCGTTCGGTGGATCGCAGCCAGCCGTAGCC